AACCCATCGGTCGAAGACAGAGATTTTGCACTCGGCGCAGGTGTCAAGGCTTTGCAGTTTTCCCCCGACGCACAGCGCCTTGCGATTGGCGATTCGAGCAGGTCGGTGTGTATTATCAGCATGACCTCTGCTGTCACCGAGACGATGCGGTTACGCCATCCGAAAACTCTCGTCCCGTCTGAAACCCTTCAGGTGAGTTTGTAATGATGTGACTGGTGGGCTCCCTGCTGCATCAGGAGGCTAACTACGTCTGGACAGGTCTGGCAGGAACAGATCGGCATATCACAGACCGGCCCCGCTGTGCACGCCTTCTTACGGACCACCCAGGTCATCTCCCCAGCGCCTCGTCTGCAGGACAACTCAGAGCCAGTGTCGGGCTGTGCCGCTATATCGTTTGATCCCTCCTCTGTCCTCGCAGCTACACGGCTGGATGACTCTCCTGGCACAATTTGGATCTGGGACTTGCAGGCGGCAGAGCTCCGAGCAGTGCTGCTTTTTCACGGCAACGTCAGCAGCTTATCGTGGCATCCGAACGTCCCCGAGACCTTGCTCGTCAAATGTGAGGGAGACCAATACAATGCCCTTGTCTTTGTGTGGGATCCTCTTTCCGAAGGTCCCAGACCTGTGGACTTTGGCCAGCGCTTGCCTGAGAGAAAGACGAGTACTAGTAAACACCGCATCTCATGGCTCGGCCTTGACGTGGCAACAGCACCGTCACTATTCTTTACTGATAACCATAATTTTGTGCTTGCTTGTCTTGCCGAGTCGGACCAAGTTCCGCCCCCGTGGGGTGATCAGGAGGCATTGGAACCAGGTTTTACAGAAGATACACGGGAAGAATCCCCTCTCGAGCTTGTCCCCGCAGCTGAGGATCTTCTCAGTGGCCCCAAGGCTATGGAAGAGGGCGCGGACGAGGACTTGAGTGAACTAGAAGACACATTTGTTCACAAGCGATAGACCGAAAGCTTGTGCTCCCATGCAAGTCAATGGCAGTAACCAATGGGCCAACGTAAAAAGCACCAAAAGGCAACCACTACCTCCCGTCATTTTACAAGTCTACTACGCAACCATGTCCCGTAGTAGACTCCCCTATACAGCAGACAACATTTTCCCAATTCAGGGATCCGAATTGGCAATTATAGTCGGGATTTGAGGGGATGTTTTATCCGCCCTACAGGCCCCCACTTTTGTTTGTCGTTGAAGTCGTGACCGTCACGACTAAATTGAATTCTTAGCTCCAACGACCCGAGTACCTGGATGTTTGTATCCCACCCACACCCCTTGGCGTGGGTTAGCGGGGAGTTGGCTTGAAATCGCCTTGTGGTTCCCTTGCGACAACACCACCACGCCTGCACGTTCTGACCAACCCGGATTGCTTTGTACGACTGCCCGGTTTATACATAGCATCCTCCGGACAAAAAGTACCCGATCTATCACATTGAGGGGGGAGTGACCACCTTTGCAGCTGTTGGCTGAAAAAGGCTCATTCAACCGGAGGGGGGCTATGGACGTCACCCTGCGCCTGTCAAACATCTGGACTGCATGCACAGTAGTCTCTCAAACCATTCTGACATGCGCAGTATGACGACTCTCGTTTCTGCAGGGAAGCGCCAAATCTGGGTTTCCCCGCGCTATGTGACCTTTGCAGCTACATGTACATGTACATGTACCTCGGAATCCCGAAGGCCCCTATCATGTTTGCCTGGCAGGGCGAGAGAATGTTTGCCCGACAACCACAAACCACACCTGGACACTGAGGCTGGGGTTTTCTCCTCTCTATGTTACCATCCCGAGACGAGCGACAAATTTGCTTCATGGGATGGCAAACGTTGACGCCCACATCTTGTTTGCAAACATCGTTAGAAATCGTTCTCATCGGCTACGGATAAGGGCTTGGCGGTGAGGCCTTCATACCCGGGGCATTTCTCTTCACTTCCGCGAGAGCTTAGTTAAATAGGCCATGAGAACAGAAACACGCATGGTGGACCGGTGGCGCCTAGCTGAAGTAATAACCACTCCTTATATCGTTTTCTTTGGCCCCACTTACAGGTTCAGCTGTGTCGATGAATGCTCTACTCGATACACGGTTACAGGGTCGTGTACCTCTGCGGGACCTATCCTCTGGAGCAGGAACCTTGGGCATACCGGTAGTTTGAGTGCTTGTCTGTACCTTTTGGACACCCTGGTACCCTGTCAATCCTTTGAGCCGCCTTTGCCAATAACCCATGGAGAATCCAAGTACCGGGTTGCTGTCACTGCTGGATGGTCCGGCTACAGCGCAGCTCCGTACCTTATTCGCCGACTGTTCTTGCTTCTGATTGTATTTCTTTCATCCCCACCCTCTTGAACATCTGCTTCGAGGCAGGAGTGACGCCACCAGCTTTGAACTGCAGCAGACTTGGCTGAATTGTGCAAGGGAGCGGAGTATGACCAACCTCTCTCTTGCCTGGACGTCTCGAGAAAGACCGAGAATGCACAAGAAAAAATATGAGATGTGACAGATATTTCTCAACTCTCGCCTTGCTTTGTTGATTTATTGTTGGGTTTGTTTCAGGGAAGAGCAGCTGTCTGCAGACTCGCTCATCTGCTCTACAGTATGCGGAGTTAATATACAAATCAAAGAACCTTCATCTATAACAAGGAGGTGTATGACCTCTGAGTTGGCACTAACTATTGCACGTAAAATTGAGCTGTACGCATCGCTGCAGAGCTTTAAAGACTATATATAGCTCTCTTGTTCGCTACTCTGGGCTTCTTATTCCAATAACTATAACACACACATCTACATACAATCATACTGCTAACTCTCAAGGATGCCCCGCAGCAAAAGAAACGAAAATCCAGATTTAAGGACTGTACAGGTCCCACCTGGTTATCAAACCGGGCTATATTACATTACCATTGCCAATGTAAGCACTCAGCAATCAGCTATTTAGAGTGAAATATCCAGAAGCCTGGCTGACCAGAGGCTCTCACCCAGCTCGACTATGCCACGAAATGGGAGGATCTGAAGGAGTTAGCTTCCAAGGTCTGCGAAGTTGACCATGTGGAGGTTTACAATCCAACTAGTGCTTGTGTCCGGCTCAAGGGCCTAGATAACTTTCAGAAGTGCCTTAGTGAGAGAGCTATTTCTCAAATTCCTGTCTCTTTCCTACTCTAATACATACTCTCTGCAGATCATCTTAATGGCAACACACTTCATTCGCGAACGCTCCAGGCAGACGGCAGAAACTCGCACTCCCCAACCGTTGTCAAGCTTAAATACACGGACTTTCACGCCAACGCAATCCTCAATGGCCAATCCATCCAAACTAATTACAGCATTCAGCCTCCACAGAAGAAGCACGACAGCAGTGTCGGTTACTCCCAATCATCAACCCAGGGGTCCTATGGTGCTGCTGCTGGGGCTTTCACGTCCTCTTCACAGCCTTACCAGACCTACTCTAACCAAGCTCCTACCTACTCGACGGAGGGATACGGGGGCTACAACATGAGCAATCCGGCGGCTGCCCCCTCGTACTACCCGGCTACGTCGAGTGGCCAGCAGCTCATGTATCAGCAAGGCATGAGCACCCAGACTGCACAAGCCGCGCCGGCGGACTCCATGAATACGACTTACTACCAAGCTGCTGCCGGCCCTTCATCCCAATCCTACTCGACAGCACCCCCGGGCACCGTAATATTTGACTATCGAAAAATCGTGATCTTCGGGCTCGATCGCAACACCATAAATGAAACAACCGTCCGCGATCTGCTTAAGACGGTGGGTCAAATCCCAACTGAGAACTCACCAATCGAAAAAGTTGAGATCGAGATAAACCAAAACGAAAAGCCCAGGGGGAGCGCGTATGTCACGTTTGTTGATGCTGATTGGGCTAATTACACTATCAAGTGTTTGCATAAACAAGAAGTCGGGAAAGGTGGACAGCCGTTACGTGTGAGGCATGCTGTGGAAGGAGTGTCTAGACAGGACACTTTTGAGGGAGAACAGCAAGGGGAGAGGAGGCCAAAGAAGGAGAGGAAGCAGAGACAAGGTGGTGCGGGAGGAAGTGGGAGTGGACAGCAGGGTGGTGGTGGTGGTGGTTCCTCTGCGGGGGTGGTTGAGGAGCGGCCGCCTGCCATTGTTGATGGGACGTTGACCAAGAGAGAAAATCGCAGGTACCTGTAGATAGACGATTTCCGTGGATTCTTTCTTTTTTTTATTAAAAATCAAAATCCTTTAAGCGATTTCCGGGTTGGAAGAAAATAATTGGATTTGGAGCCAACAATACCGGTGACTGGGAAGGAACGAAGTCAAATTTTTTTTTCGGTTGATATTCAAAGAAATGCTTGCTTAGTCGGGCATTCGTTGAATGATGCTTTTTGGATTGTACGCGGGCGTAAGATAATTTTTTCTTTCTTTCTTGGGAGCGATTCCATCTTTTTCTCTTTTTTTTTTTAATGAGATGGATGGCTCAATGAGTTTTATGACAATGAAACAGAATAAGATAAATAATAATACAAAAAAAACCAGGTTGAACCTAATCCTTATCTAGTGTTATTCCTTGAGAATGATGAGCCACTCGGTGATTTTCAAATTTTATTTTACACATTTATAAATTCACCACCACGACACAAATCAACACGGAATCAGAACCAGTCGTCTCTTTTCCACTGGTTTTCTCTTTTTTCGTCAAATAATACATACATAACGGAACCTTTTCCTCCTCCCGGTGATTTTTATGAAATTGGCCAAGGAAGGAAAAAGACAGGGAGACTGGTCTAGATAGTTGGGTTAGGAAACATTGAAACTTAAGATACGGAGCAGAGAGCTGCTCAACCCTTCCAACGAAAACATAATGACTGTGGAAGAGGAAATGAGAAAGGGAACGCGAAGTCTATTCTTCTTTTTTTGCACTGAAAATTAGGTTTGAAAAAATAAAAATAAAATAAAAATTAGAAACAATATAGAATTAATTTCCCCTGCTGATTACAGAGAGGAACTGTAAGGTGTGCAACAAGGGCGTGTGGCTCAGTTGGTAGAGCGCCCGCTTAGCATAACTAAAAGCAATTGCGGAAGGTCCCCGGTTCGATTCCGGGCTCGTCCATTTTGTCTTTTGCCTCGTTTTTATCATTCTTTTTTATTTTCTTGGTTCATTTTGTTTTTCTTTCTTTTTGGTTAAACCAGTTGAGTTCGTAAAGAAAGAGATGGCTCCAAACATATCAATCAGACTTGAAGCCACACTTTTGGGCACGTACGAATCGAAAGTTGATCGAATAAGATGGCGAATAGACTGACAAGTATATATATAGTCTCGAAAATGAAGGACAATAGATAAATTCTTCATCAGAAAACAAACCCGTAAATAAACTCCGTTTTGTGCTTCTTCACTACTGTCTGAATAAAGAGACCCAAGAAAACAAATCAAGGTAAAAGCTAACAGACATGAAAAGACATGCAAGTATGGTATGTTTGTATGTATGTACAGGACAAAAGAACAAGACAATCCCAAATCTCCCATTTCATATAATACACCTCCTCCTTACTCATCCCTCCCAAGCAATTCCAGCCTTGCCCAGCCTCGCAACCAACTTAGTATTCTGCGCCTGCAACTCGCCAACCTGCCCCGTCAAAATCTCAACCTGCAACAGCGCCACATCCCTCTCGGCTCTAGCTCTCTCGAGCTCCATCTGTACGTTTGCCTTCTCCTCCCTCTCGACCTGCTTCTTCCGTCTCTCCTCAGCTTTCCTCTCCTCGGCCAAACGCTTCTCCGCCAACCGCTGAAGCTCACGCCTATACTTCTCTTCCTGCTTCGCAACCTCCCGCTCGTGCTTCTCACGAAGTTTGGCCAATGCCTCTTCCTCCTTCTCTCCGCTGCTTTGATTCCTGTGCCTTCTCGAATTACGTTCCAGCTTTTCCTGAGCTTTGCGCATGCGTGCCTGAAGCTTGCGAACTTCTTTTTCGTGCTGGGCCATGTAACGACCGGCTCTTCCTGTGGGTGTGCTTTCGTTAGAGAGGAGACCCTCGGATATAATCGAAGAGCGAGTCGAGATTGCATCTGTGTCTCTCACACCGTTGGTCTTGGTGCCATCGAATGGCGGAGGAGAGTTTTCATTTGCATGCGTAGATTCCTCCTTGGCTGAAGCGAAACTGGCTTGAGAAGATGCATCGTCGTCGTCGTCACTATCCTCTGTAACGTCGTCCAGGTTCCCGACATCTGAGTTGGTACCAACCGAGGAACCAGCAAAGGTTGCGACCCTGTTAGCTACCACTGAGCCCGCAGCTTCCAGAGCGCTGGCAATCATGCCATAAAACCCGCTGGGTGCAGGAACATCTTCCTGTTTCTCCTCGTTTGTGCCATGATCACCTTGCCGAACGACAGTTCTCGATGAGGACTTCCGAGACTGCTTGAGCGTGCCCCTACTCGCCACCAACGCTCTTCTGTCATCCAAGCCATCAAGGTCAGCTTCACCCTCTTCAACCTCCTCACTCTCCTCGCTCTCCTCCTCTTCGGCAAACATCTGCTCAAACCATTCCAAAAACCTTCCAGCGTCACTGACAATTCCTCCAGGCGTGCCCTTCTCAACCATAAATCTTGGGACACTTCCTCCCGGATCACTTCTCGTAACCATTAACCACTCAATTGCCGTTTCCTCCCCATGCCCCTGACCCTCTCCATCTACATGGGATTCCCCATTTCTACCCAAGTTAGTAGACGACCTAGTCATCCTTTCTCCCAGCTTCTTCCCATCAACTTTGACCTCCCTGATAATTTCAACGCTCTCATACCGGCCCCTGATAAAACCGGACCTTGGCGGACACTCATCATGCTCACACGGGCGCGAAACCAACATGAACTGTCTTTCACCCTTATTTCCCTTGGCAGACTCGGGAGTCATATGAAGTGCCACAAAGTCTCTCGGCGTAGTCGGGCCAGGAAAGCGTGCCGAAACCAAAAACACCTCCATAAGACCAACACCTTCAACCACAACCCTCTCGACTCTCTTCTCTGCCCCAATCCCTCTAATGTTTCCCTGTCCCGGCATATCCTTTTCTTCACCTCTCTTCAAAGTCTCCCCAAACTCCTTGCGCAACGCCTCCTCCCACTTTTCAAAATCATGTATTCCATGATGCACGCTCCTCCTGGCAAACCAAGCACCTTTGCCATCCTTTGCGCTCAGCTTATACACCGTAATGTTATGCGGGTTCGAAGAAGCAGCCATGGGCTTGACGGCCGTCCAGTCCTTCCTAAGTTTGAGGACATCGGGACTGAGCGATTCCGAGCAGGGCTGCGAAGTAACCGGGGCGGTTTGGGAACGGGTTCTGGTGTGCCCCGTCGTAGAGCTAGACGAAGGAAGAGGAGGGATCGAGTCGATCAGGATTTGCGCGTTGGAGAATGTGTCACCCAGTAAAGAGGGGAGGGATTCCGGGGTGAGGCTTGACCAGGCTAGTGGTGCCAGAGATTGAAATGGGCTGTGGTGCGCCATCTTTTTGTTATATAGGCTTCTTCTGTTTTGTGACGAGGGATAACTGATGAGTGTTGCAGGAGGATATTGAAATAGCTGTTAATTTTTTGTCTTCTCGAGAGCTGTGTCAAGACGTAATTGACTTTGGAGGGCGTGGAAAAGACTGGCTTTTAGCCCAGAAAACGAAAAGAAGAAACTTCTCCGTAGTCGATGTCTCGGTAGGGTGTTTACAAGGTAAAATAGGTATATCAAATAGAGAATGGTTCAAGGCTTGGGAAGGGACCAGCAAACAGATGACGAAATAGGAAACGGAAGCTGCTGCTGAAGAAAGTAGTGATCAGAGTTCCTTCTGTTTCTGTAAAAACAATCTTTAATAAATAAATTGAAGTAGGCGGTAATATTAAAGAAAAAGGGATGAAACCCAATACCTATTATAGAATTCGAAATTTATCTCCCAAATGGGAGGGAGCTTGAAGTAGGTAGGGAGCTGTGGGAAGCTTGCTGAGCTGACTTGCAGCAACTGGTGTTGACGTCATCACCATGGTTCGACCCTGCACAAAGAAACGTCACCCAGCGGGGCGAAACGTCGTCGACCAAGATGAGACAAACTCAGGGGTTAAAATCCATTTTCCGTGCATACAATATCTTATAATTGGTCCAGAGTACAGTACACTACATTACAAAAAAACACATTTCATAAGTTAGAATACCTAGCTATGCAGTGCGTTCCATATACTTCTCTTCAAAAATCGGGACAATCGAAAAAAAACGAAAAAAAAACGAAAAAAAAAAAGAATACCTTTGCAAGAATCCTCAAATTTCAACAGCAGCACAAACACAATAATACCCACAGACATAAACCTCTGCACCATTGCCATTCCTTCCTTCCTTCCTGTCCCATCCTTGTTCCTCCTTTTGTTTTGTTTTTGGTCGTTCCCCGTTCCTTCTCCATATCCTGTAACCCACGTGAAATTCCCAAGCCCCAATACAAGAGACCAAGTTTTCTCCAACTCGAAATCCAGTTTCGCCAAATAAGCTTACCGCATAGTCTTGAGGTATCCGTCAAGGTCGAAGCTCTCTTCGTACTGACTGTTATCCCAAAGCTCTCCCAATCCATCCAGCCATGCCGCTCTCTTTCCTGGCTGCCGAACATCACCAGTTTCGATGTCTACCATGTCTTCCTCTCTTCCTTCGATGTTATCTTTTGGATTATCAGATATAAGACTTGGTCCAGAATCGCCAAGATTGAATAAATCCAAAATTTGGTCTGTATCCATAGTCGCCAGACCCGCATTCTGTTGATTGACCACGGTACTTGCAACATCAATCTTGAATCTCTGAAGGCTAAGAATCTTCTCCTCGAGCGTGCCGCGAGTGATCAAACGGTAAACGTTGACAACCTTCTTCTGGCCGATACGATGAGCGCGGTCCATGGCTTGGAGATCTTTCTGTGGGTTCCAATCATGTTCAACGAAGATTACAGTGTCCGCACCCGTCAGGTTGAGACCGAGACCGCCGACGCTAGTCGTGAGAAGTAAAACGTCGTACGATGGGTCGCTGTTGAACTTGTTGACGATGTCTTGGCGACGGTTTGCTTCGACTGAGCCATCTAATCGGAGATATTGCGTCGAAGGAAGCATTTGCTTCAGAACTGTGTTCTGGACCATGTCAAGCATTTCCTTCATTTGACAGAAGATCAAGGCTCTGTGAGGTTTGATCGGCGTGTAGAGAGGGTCGCTGGACTCTTGGCCTTCAATGCCAATACCACATTCGACTAGCAGATCTCTGAGTGCTGTGAGCTTGGGCGCGTGCACTGGGTCTTCGAGACTGGTGTTCTGTCGGGAAAGGAACTTTTGTGTGTCGTCATATGCCTTGTGGCCAGGCTTCATGACGAGCGCCGGGGAGTTGCAAAGCTTGCGCATGTACTGCAGCGCCTGGAAAATGTGCTGCTTGGCCTCCTTGTCATCTCGTCCTGCTTCCTCGGCAATCGTCTTCGCCTCTCTTTTAGTAAAATCTTCGAAAAGCTTAAGTTGGAGGTCGCTGAGGTCGCAATAGTAGTTCTGCAGAATCTTGGGTGGCAAATCGTTGAGGACCTCCTCCTTGAGACGACGCAGGAGGAATGGGAGAACCTGCTTGTGAAGAGCTTCAATAGCCAAAGCGCCTGCTTCTTGCTCCTTTGATGATGCCTTACTGTTTCGACTGTTGGCGATTGGCTTGGCAAATCTGTCCTGGAATACCTTCTCGGCTCCCAGGAATCCGGGCATCAAAAAGTCGAACAAAGACCAGAGCTCAAGGACATTATTCTGAATTGGAGTTCCGGTTAAGATGAGCCGGTGATTGCTAGCCAACCTCTTGACAGCTTGGGTGATCTTGGCCTTGGGATTCTTTATTAAGTGGCCCTCATCCAGAACAACGTAGTTCCAGTTATACTTCTCGATAGCTTCAATATCGTTGCGGCAGACATCATAAGACGTAATCACGATGTCGGTCTTGTCAAGCTGATCCTTCATCGCCTTGCGTTCAGCAGGAGGACCGACATAAGCCGTAACGCTGAGGAACGGTGCATAGTGCTTGATTTCTTGTTGCCAATGCCCAGAGAGGGTCGGTGGGCAAACGATCAATGAGGGGAGTCGTCTCACGT